GCAGGGATGGAAGGATTGATTGAAATCAGTTCACGGCAGGAGACGTCCTCTTTGTGAGTCACAGGTCTCCCCTCACATGCACTCGCACATTAAAGAGTGCCAGCATACGCACACACTCCCCGGGTGAAGTTTGAGCAGCTCTCAAACAGAATAACTAACACCCCCGACGTCACCGGCAGCCCCCTCCACACATGCATACACAAACACAAACACACAGTCACGAGGCGATTGGCGTCAGAGCTGCTCACGCACACGTCTATCCCGCTCTCGTTAAATCATTGAATTCCCCTCGCAGTTTTCTGAAAGAGAGAAGTAGTAGGGTTGCCCTCATTCAGTCGAATCCCCCCAGAGAGAACCAAGGCGAGAGGAAGGAGGGAGGAGGAGGGGGAGGGTACGATGGAGGAAGATGGAGGAGTTGAGAACGAGGCAGCAAAGCCTGTGAACCTGATATAACTTGTGCTGTTTTTTTGTTGGTGGTGCAAAGTCTGCCCACTTCGCTGTGCACTTCTGAGGTGTCCTCTGTTTTTACAGTCACTCTGTATCTACTGTGATGTCACACTTCGTGCACATAAAGCGAGTCGTGATGATGATCTCGCCCGGCTTTTAGCCGCAGGCCTCCGCAGCTTCTCCCTCCAACTACATTTCCTCCATCACAGCTGCATCCATCCCCCTTCATTGTTCTTCATCTCGTTACGGCGGTCTCGGGAGCGAGTTCGTGTAGCCAAGGACGGGGTCGGCAGCCGGCATGTGTTGTTGCCATGGCAACATATAGTGAGGCAGTCAAGTCATCAGATTTATCAGCGTGTTTTTACTCGCAGTGAAACCTGCCAGTGGGGTACACAACTCCACTGTTTTCTTTGCCTCGGCTCTTCCACCGCAGACCGTTTCATGTTTTGCTCTGTTCTCTTGCTTTGCCTCAAGTCTTCCTGTCGATGGTCAGGCTGTGCTTTGTCCTTTTTTTCCTTTATTCCACGTTCTACTTCTGAAAATGTCTTCCAGGAAACTTTATTTGCTTTTTGTTTTAACTTATATACCATTATAACCCTATAGCATCTACATACAAATACTTTAAAAACCAAATACTTGTCTTTAAAATAGTTTTTTTTAAAGTGCTACTGTTAAAAGTATAAAGTTCAAATCATACTTGACCTTTGCGTTGTGTTGGGAATCTCGGCCCCCATTCCGTATTTAATTTATGTTCACTAAGCAATAGTACAGCCCAGTATTTAATGTGTGCACCCAAAGCATGGACTGTATGTTTTAAGATAAATAAAGTTAAATAAAATAGAGTTAAGTGCATAAAACCTGCAGTCTTTCCAGTGGCCAGCAGGGGGCGACTCCTCTGGTTGCTAAAAGAAGTCTGATTGTATAAAGGTCGGTGAGAAAATGGCCCTACTTAATAATAATAATAATGGATTGCATTTATATAGCGCTTTTCGGGACCCCTCAAAGCGCTTTAAAATTCCACTATTCATTCACTCTCACATTCACACACTGGTGGAGGCAGCTACAGTTGTAGCCACAGCTGCCCTGGGGCAGACTGACAGAAGCGAGGCTGCCATATCGCGCCATCTGCCCCTCTGGCCAACACCAGTAGGCGGTAGGTGAAGTGTCTTGCCCAAGGACACAACGGCCGAGACCGTCCGATTCGATTACAAGACGAACACCCAACTCTTGAGCCACGATTGCACGATTGATAGTGAGAAAATGGCCCTTACTTCTCACTTGAGTTGATTTTATGATCTGTGCCTTTATTTTCATGTCACATACAGTATCATGGTGATTTGGTAAATGACGAAGCCATTCAGAGGAAAAAAGGTGATAAAGCAGGGTCTGCTGCCAGACCAACCTCTCACTTGTTGTTCACACTTTCAAAACTCAACTTGCACAAAGTGCTTTGGGTACTCAGGTAGCGTGTATGAGACCCAGGCCATTTATACAGCCTATGATGCAAAACCTCATGAAGCATAAATTTCTCTTTTTCCAAAAGCTATTAGAAATGTGTCAGTGAGCCACATTATTGTGCTGAGTGTACCTTTTATTATCCTTTATTATCCTGTACAATTAAAAACTAGTAATTAAACTGTATTCATTGAACATTTCTTTTTAATCTGCTGACAGAGCATGGAAATATGAACTGCATTAGTGTGTTTAAGAAACTTAGAGGACAAAATAATAATTTGCACGAACACAAAACTCAATAATGTACCGATGAGAGAGTCCTGAGGCCCTCAGTTGGTGTCTTTGGTATTCTTGGACATGACAAAACCTGTCAGTCAGTTTAAGAAAGTGTGCACTGCTAATGGACCTTTTAAATAAACCTTTTTGTTGTAGCTCTTATGTTATTTTGTTCCTCTGTTTTGTACTAAAATGCTTTTGATTTGATCAGAGGCAGAATTTGAAAAATGTGCAAGAGAAATATTTTCAAAGTTTATTTGTTAAAAACCACACGCTGATCTCTGGGATACAAAAACTGGAAATAAGATGGCAGGAATCGAGCTGTTAATAGTTTTGCCATTTTAAAAGTTAAAAAAAAGCTTCATGGAGAGCCAAGGCCAAAAAAGAGTCGCTACGTAGAAGTAAAAGCACTGTGAAAATTAAACACCTCAATAGATACAAAATTACTACCTAAAGCCCAACTCATAAACTCTCCTAAATGCTTCTCGGGTGGCAGGAAAGCTACCTGAGTATCGAGCAGTAGTAGGTACTGACCCCAGCCCAACGGTGAACAGCTGTAGGCTCCCTGATTCAGCCAACGGCAAGAGGAAGGCGTGACAGACTACATTTTATTTGTTCATTAAGTTACTCCCTATAAGGTTGCAGCTGCAGGCGTGGGTTAGGTGTGCCAGCAGACAGGTTGTTCACCTCCGGTTTGGATGAATCCATCATCCTTTCATACCAACTTTTGGATTTTCTCCTCTGTTTCAGGTATTTCTCGTCTGGATGATCAAATATTCATCAACCGCAACCCCGGAGTGCCGTCAGTGGTCAAGTTCCACCCCTTCAACACCTGCATCGCCGTGGCTGACAAGGACAGCATCTGGTCAGAGACTGCCACGTTCAGTTAAAATGTTAAACAGATCATATTGTCGTCTAGAGCTGCCACGATTAGTCGACTAGTCACGATTACGTCGACTATTAAAATCGTCGACGACTGATTTAATAGTC